CCCTCTCCATCGGCTTTCTACAGAACAATCACTGTGTTTGTCTAGTAAAATAATCTCCTTTAGTTCCCATGCCTGCCTATACCCACCTACCTAAGCCCCCCGCACACTGGTTCCTGACTCCAGGCGACAGACAGACAGACACACAACGTTAGTGTATAGACGGTAGCGATGCTGCAGCTATGATCGTAATAGTTCACGATGGCCATTGAAAAACTTGATACGATTTTAATGCGACGTTTTAATTTTATATGCGCCCGACGCAGAGTTCGGCTCGTCTTTGTATGAAGATGCGAGTGAAGTAGGGTGGGTGGTTCAGCCGGCCGCCGGGGCTTACGGCTGAATGATGTTTATGATGCTCTGTATTCTGCTGCTACTGGCGGCGGCGGCGGCGGCGGCGGCGGCGGCGGTGCTGGTGGTGGTGGTGGTTGTGGTGATGCTACTGCTGCTGCTGCTGCTGCTGCCGCTACGCGCTGCTACTGCTGCTGCTGCTACTACTGCTGTTGCTGCTACTGCTGCTGCTGCTGCCGCTGCGCGCTGCCGCTGCGCGCTGCTGCTGCTGCTCCTGCCGCCGCCGCTGCTGCTGCTGCTACGGATTTTTTTCTAGGGGAAACTGTCGTCGTGAATATTAACAGCAGATGTAAGCGCGTGTGTTTGTGCAACACGCGCACGACACGTGCAGGTTTTCCCAGACATGACAATACGGGGGTGGTGGGTGGTGGGGGGGGGCGGGGGGGGTGGGGGGGGGTAACAAGGGTTAGGGATAGGGTTAAGCCTAGTATTGCCATGACTAGTATGTGTGTGTGTGTGTGTGAGTGTGTGTGTGTGTGTGAGTGTGTGTGTGTGTGTGTGTCTGGGTGGTGGGTGGTGGGGGGGGGCACTCACCGCTGGCTCGCTATTATTCGACCACTGCAGACGATAGCAGGCGATGTCCGGCGTCACCAGCGTCGGAACACTCCAGTCCAGACTGATCGTCGTGTCCGTGAAGGTCGCGACCTTGAGGCCGACGTCGTGCGACAGTGGCGCCGGCTGCTGGGAGCCTGCGGTCGAGTCCGCCCTGTAGGTTTCCACGTGCAGCGCCTTGGAGTGCGGCGAGGCCGTAAAGGATGGGTCGGAAGTGAGAGCGACTATGGTCACCTTATACACCCTGAAACAGCAAGTGCACCCCATCAGTGTCATGAAGGAAACTGTCGTTATCAATATAACGCCAGAGACGCAGAGCGTTAGCAAAAGGTCTATAAGACCGATTATATCAATCGCTAATAATACGTATCATTACCTAGGTAATATTACCAAATAATACCTATTATTACCTAGGTAATATTATCTAATCTTACCGTAATTATACCCTAATATTAAAACCCTTATTACCCTAATATTACCTGAAAATTACCTAGGTATTATTAACTCTTGATTATATATATATATATAAATATATATATAAATATATATATGATTTACAATATAACATCAGTCAATATTAAAACCAACTGAATCGTGCGAAGCATAATTATCTAACCCGAGCAACATTATGAACCTTATTGGAGAACTTAATGAAAAAGTTTTAAGTTTTAAACTTATTGAAAACTTAACAAAAGAAAACTATTTGCAGTAGCACGGACGAGCCTGGGCATGCGCGGCAGTGCAAGTTGCAAGATGGCTGCTTACCTCTCATGGCGGCTGGGGATGACGGCCTTGTGATGGAGGAGACTGAGCGGGGCGCCTGCCTTCCTGTCGTTGATGTACAGCTACATACGGGGAACAAACACGGAGCATGTGGATGTCAGTCACGCACATAGAGATATAATTATAGAGACGCATATATATGGTCACGCAGCTATCGAAAGCGAACACGCCCCCTGTATGTATGTGTGTGT